AGGGGGGGAAAAGCCACAAAGGCCTGAAACAAGATGCAAAAAGCAAAAAAAATTCAGAGATAAAGGATAGAGTATAATTAAAGAAAGATTCTGCAAGAGTACATAAGATAGTATTGTAGTATTTGCATTTGAAATAGTCCATTGGAATATTATAAGATTTAACAAAATATTAAAATATTAAAATGTTTAATAATGATAGATCTCAATATTTAATAAAATATTAAAGAGAATGTGTAAAATGATTAATGTTTAGTTATAGTTTAATTCATTATTGTCTTAATGTTATTATAAATTTACTATTTCATTTTCTTATTTTAAAATAATGTATTAAGTAGAATTAGAATTAGAATGGAAATATATTTAACTATATTATAAATTTATTATTCTTTTATTTTAAAATGCAACATGTAGAATGTACTAAGCAGAATCAGAACGGAAATTATGTATTATTTTAAGTGTTATTTTAGGGGAAAGATAGAAAGGCGTCACACTTTAAAAGTGATTACAGGGGAAATTTTCTGTTAAAGAGAAGAGATAAATAGATAATTGGAAAAGAACGGACAAAAGATACAAGTATAATGATTTTAAAATAAGATGAAATAAACAAAATATAATTAAGAGAGTGAAAAGAAGGGAGAAGTTATTTAGAAAATATAGAATGGTAAATAAGATAAGAATGGTATATAAGGTGAGCATGAATTTGATTTAGGTCTGTAAAAAATGATGTAACCCGGGACTAAGCCACTTTTCAAAAGAAGTTTTATGTTTTATGTTTTGTGTTTTGGTTAGCTATGTTTGATTAAGAATTAATAAAACCTTGGAGGAATAAAACTAAAGGGAGAAATAATGAGAAATTTGGAAAAGACATGTACAAATGATAAGGAGGTTTTATGTTTTTATGTCTTGTTTTATGTTTTGTATTTTGTGTGTTTGATTGAGAATTAATAAAACCTTGATAGAAAGAAATATAATTGAATAAAAGTGAAGGGAGAAACAATGAGAAATTTGGAAAAGATACATAGGTGTTTAAATGGAAATGTGATAATTTGGAACTATGCTGTATAAATGTTTATATTTGATTGAGAATTAATAAAACCTTGATAGAAAGAAATATAATTGAATAAAAGTGAAGGGAGAAATAATGAGAAATTTGGAAAAGATATATATGTGCTTAAATGGAAATGTGATAATGTGGAACTATGCCTTAAAAATAATGTTTTATTTGCCTTTAATTTTTTAGAAAGGAGGTTTTATGCCTTTATGTCCTATGTTTTGTTTGTCTTTAAAAAATCAATAAAATTTGTTTTTTAAAAAAAGTATCATTGCAGGATATAAGCTGTTCCAAGCAAAACTGCCTTTTATGACTGACTGATGGTGACTATGTCAGTTCCAATGGTGTTCGTGCTCCAATTGTTTTGGGATTGCACCAAAGGTGCCTATAAATATTGGCACTATGTTTGCTTTCTTTTGCCACAATCATTTATTTCTATTTGCAGGTCTTATGTTTTGTTATCTTCTCCAGTTTCTTTTTCCTTCTATTTTGCTGTGTCCAAGTACTGCCATGTTCTTGTTGCTGTTATTATTATGGCAAAATTAATTTTCATAGTATAATTGACTGAACATTGACTCCTATGATTCAGATCCAGACAAAGAGTCACAAATGTATTTCTATAAAGCGTATGTTGTATTTGTAAAGTATTCGTAAAATTTCCTACTCTGATTTCAGGAATGTGACTGACAACTTTTCATTGTGGTATGGTGTGGTGAGTTCAACTTCATATGGGGCTTTCTGAGTAGCTAGGGTCAACCACACATTTGGGCTGGGCTTGAGTTAGAAGTGGGCAACAGGAATATGAAGAATAAGACACGAGGAAAGTATGAAAAGCATGAGGAAATGAAACAAATATGTTAAGTAAAACTAATACTGGGAAGGAAAGTATGTGTATTTATTCATAAACAAAGCTTTCTAAGACCCAAAGTAGAATATGTGAAAGAAAATTAAGCAACCCAAGGTCAGAGAAAGTAGTAAAGTCTTTGATCTGATTCAAGATTAGTAAAGTCTGATTCAAGTTTAGGAACAAGCCACAGTGGACCGATACAGTGCTTGACAAAGTTGCTTTCAACACATTTGAAACAAGAATGCTGAATTTTAAATTTCCTCCCAGCTAGGTGGGTGTACATAGAATCAGGTCTTTTTGCTTAAGCTGGCACCAGTAATAAAACAGAAAAGCTGCCATTTGTTCATAAAACATTCATTTTTGTGAAATATTAAAAGCTATGTCACAAGCCCCTGCTTGTGACATAGCTTTTAATATTTCACAAAAATGAAATAGTTATATGCTACCTGCTACATGTGCTAGTTAGAGAGCCCTCTATGGTGGTGGAGCATTCTTGGTAATATCAATGGAAAATGGAGAACTTGCCAGAATCTCCAGTCAGGTTTTTAGTCCATTGTGATGTTAGTTTAGTACATTAAGAAACATATTTGATGAATCCCTTTACTATCACACTAAGATAATCAGTATGGTAATAAAGTTTTTTCTCCATATTCTTTCAGTCACAATTTTTAAATCATGATATTGTTTCTTTTTTTTTACCAGTTTTCATCAAACTGTGATTAAACTGTCTCTAGAAATGGTCCAATCAATGCTAATATCTTTTAAAGCCTCTACCCACAGGAATGTTGAAATCCTACTAATTTCTTCATTTTTCAAAAATATTGTTGTTTTGAATTTTGCACTGTAGTTCAAAGAAAGACTTACAAAAATAATATAAAAGAAAACAACATATCTAAGGAAAAGCATTTTGTTTAACAACAGTGCTGCACAATGTTCTTAAAATCAGCACATAGATCTAATACCTTATTGAAATTTGCTTACAAATACATTTATATATTAGAACATCCCATACAAAATACATATATTGAGGA